CATACGTATATGCTGCGTTCATTCGTATTATTTCTGTATTAAATTTAGAAAGAAAATGGCACAAATTAATTCTGAAAGGCATATTTAATTGCTATTCAAATTAGTAAGATGGCTCCAGACGGTTTTAGCTAAGCTATATAATGCAATATTTTGATGCTTTTTTATCAAATGCGTACCAGGCAACTAATACGAATTCATACATTTCTTGTTTGTTTCAACTGTAAATACATGCCTTATGCCATATAATAAACTTTATTAACCTCGCTTGCTCGCCCGCCCCGACCTTCGAACAGTCAGGAAAACTGAGTAATTTCACATTGACGCCAAGGAATACTTGAATTTCTTCCACAGACAGTAAACTGTCACTGGTTTGATAATTGTTATTTATGAATTATGTGATCAAAAAACAAACGAATTAGTTCGTCATATTTCTTTTGGTAAAACGATCTTTTAATAGATTCCTGATATCCGCGCTCTGTTGTACTTGGAATAAAAAGGTATTACTTTGTTTTGATTGTTTTTATTGTGTAATATTGAATCATTTTATATTAAATTTTTCTGCATTCTCGTTCTTACGGCTACACCCTAAAATATTTATCAATAATTGATTATCAATTCAAGATCATACCGAAAATGTATACCGAGAATATTTCAAACTATTAATAAATAATACAATATATTAGCAAGATTAGATGAACTGTTTAACATTTAGAATCTTAGATATTTTAATAATGAATACATCACACACACATTCATCAGCATGATGCATAGTTGATCGATAGCTTCGTCTGAGTTGAGTCATTTTGTGTAACACTATATAACACTTAATTCTCACAATGTGCCGGCCATGTAATGTTGGCTGTTTCTCTTTACATCTCATGAGCAAATCAAATTGTGGACAAGATACCTCTTGTCAGATTCACGGTTACGATTGCAGACAGGCTTTGGTTGGTCAAATATGTTGAATAAACACTAGATTGCTAGCTGTTGCGATACTTATCATGCATGGAAGGCGAGCTTTTTGTTAAGTTTTTAGCCAGATGTAGACGTAATGTTTAGTCACTGTTAATTTAGACGCTGTGAAGTTCACATAAGAAAGCTTATTTTGAAATGTAATTATGTTAAACCACGTGAAACATGGTTTCAGATGTAGGATTGTGAACAGCGTTGTTTTAGTTTTACTCGGGAAGACATTCCATGATTTCCATCGCACTATATAAGCAATGTCTGATAGTGATACAGATCAAGACATGCAGGCTTGAAGTCGAAGACAAAAGCCAAAGCGGAAATTTCATATTCTAGAAATACTATGGCAGTATTTCATCGAAAATGGAAGACTTATGTTTTGGTCTGTATAGTTTCTCGATTAGATGAATGCGAAGAGCAATTCAAGAAGTGAAGACGCATTTTGTTAGTAATTAACCATGATCCGCTATTTTGGTTTCACTCATTAATGAGGGAAAGTGAGTGGGAAAGTGAGAGAGCTAGCGTTCCAGTCTTAATTGAGTTAACTGGCCCTCGCAAGGCGGCTCAGCTAAGTGAGCGATTGGCGGATGAATGCTAAATTTAAAGATGTGCTCTACCAACAAAGATGTTCCCGCTGTCTGTGGGAAAAAATTGCGGATGCTTGGGGATACAATGTGATAAATATAATAATTACATTATGTTTATTTTTATTAAGTCAGCGACTTTTTATTGTTTGTTTTGATCTTTTAATATTTTCAACCCAATTATCTACTGACATAATATTGTTGTAGAATTTTCTTGCTATTACGTACTTTAATCATACATTCTACATTACTTTCCTAAAAAGCTACACAACATAAAAAAGAAAAATCGTGTATTTCAGGTTAAACCATAAACATGTATAATACGTTTAATGTAGTTTATATGTTAAGATTCTTTATAAGGATTTTGAAAAGCAACAACACAATGAGACATTTTTGTGCCATATAAATTAGGCAGGAAGCGCTCGAAAAAAGGTCTAGAGGCTCTAATTAACCTAAGTTTTTCCTAGAGGAACACGAGGACCTCTAATTCGCAGAGGGTGTGAGCCAGCTCTGTGCATGTTGTTCAGTGAGTTGAGACCTGATGATCTAGGGACAACCATTAGTTATACTGAGAAACCCGACAGAGCATGCAAAAACTATCGGTTTTTCTAGAGGAACAGGTGAACCTCTAGATAACAGGGGAACAGGCGGACCCCTGTCCAGGTCAGTCACCTCGCGACCCAAATATTGTCTGACTGACCCATCGAGTCTCTAGGTCAGGTCATCAGTTCGCGTTTTCGACCAGAATGACATGTACAAATGCACTTCACGTGGTGAGGTGTTGTCCAGAAGGACAGCACTTCCTGCCATTAATGGCGGTCTTCACAAAGTGCAGAATGCCATTTCCGCCACGGAAGTAGGCCGAATTATAGTCCTGTCTTTCGACAGCGGAGAGGGTCCACCCGAAAATGTCTTTAAGACACAATCTTGCAAGGGTGGCCAGCAATTGTGTGTATGTGCGTCCTTGAACAAACAGATTTGAAGATATCGTGCAGTTGCCGTGGTTGCATGACAGAACAAACATACGACAGGCTGAGTTTGCAGGAAGGATCTACATACACACAAATAGGAGACTGGTATTATACAGACTATACAGCAAGGAAGCATAATGTTTGAGTTTTAAAGGTAGATATTAAACAAAATTTTCAATGTTTGGTACTTGAAGTTAATAGTTTTTATGGAACGGAAGCTAAGACGTCCTTTGGAGTTCTAATGTATCTCTTGTAACAGTCTGAAGACCAACGTCCTAGCGTTTTGATGAGCCAAGAGGTTAGGCCGCGGCTGAGCCCGCAGCTGTAGCAGCTCCGATCCTGAAACTATGAGAGGCGTAGAGTTTTTCGGCTAGTCCTTGCCCTTGAAGTAGATGACGTAGATGCGATGTTAGGGTTACACGTGTAAGTGGGACAGCTGATGTAAATTGGAACAGTGGACGAGTTGTTTGGCCAGACGATGACTGGAGTAGATATGTTTTCATAACTCGAACCGGGCAGAGTTATTTGGAAGCCGGTACCCCCCAATCACTGGATGCTTTCTACGCCCCTGGGTTTGTTGCCGTTTAGTGATCATCACATATCATTACTGTTAGTTTTTAGCTTGATTCACGACAAAATCATTTTCATTGAAAACGCACGCGCTGGGTGGTTCAATTAAATGACGAAAAATTCATTCAATTGTTGTCAATTAAATGATCGTTTCTTGCGGATAGGTTTGCAAAAATTTTGCGCGCGAAATATTATTTCACAGAGCGATAAAAAGCGGTTAATTGAAAATCATGTTTTCCCTTTCCTCATTATCCAAACCCTTCGATGATTTGACATTACGATGAGCCAATTGTTAAACGACATCCACGACGAAAAGGGTCGGTTTTGGAACGCTTGATCAAGACATCATAATATTCCGCGTGGAGGATATTTGGGTGGAAAATAATGTCATTGCGGGATGATAGGTGGCACTCGGGATCAAATGGAGAATTACACGTGAATTCACTGCAGCGCAGAAAACCAAAAAAGGCCAGAGTGAAGGCGGCCCAAAGCATCACATTGTCTAAACAGTTTGTAAACTGAGGATGTAGGGCAGAATGAAGGGACTAGAGTTCGGTCACAGTGATAGGCCGTCGATCCCGCAATTTTTCACCCTTGAGGCGCTTCAGACCTTTCAGGCTTTTCTCTAATAATTGCATGCTCCCCATGTTGAATGAGATTTGAAAAATTACGTGGAGGTAAGACACGCTAGCTAAATATGTTTTAACAGTTGAATATGAAACAGATTTGGAAAGATGGCCGACGATGTAGAGCAGGGTAAGATTAGTCGCAGGCAGTAAAGGTGAACAGGGTGTCACGATACGTTTTGCAAGGCAGAATGAAATGAATTGTTTTACGCCGGCGGCGTATGTTTGTTTAGTTGACGGTGTCCCTGAATGCTGAATAAGTTCATAAACACGGTCTTTTAAGTTTAGATCATGGATACTGGGATGACGCAGGGCAAAGGAGAGGTCAGCGGCGCTAATTGTTTGAAGTGGTCCATCTGAAAACGAGAGAGAGAGTCAGCAAGGCCATTGTCAAATCCGCGTACAATGCTTGGCCGTAAATGTAAAGTTGTTTTTCAAAGTACAAAAAACAATCGGTCGGAGTAAATCCATTATCTTCGGACATTTTGACGTCTTCTGGTTGAGAATTTGGACAACGGACTCGTTGTCACAGAAAAACACAATGCGTTTTTTTGCCCAAAAATAAATAAATAATATAAATGTGAATACACTGAATTAAAAAAATTTAAAATGGTTAGTCGATCATTATCGCCTTGACCTCTATACGAACTTGCAGCTCTAATCGATAAGCGAAACCTTCCTCGCTAAATAAATCAAGCTTAGACTACGTGTAGTTGAGAAACACGCGTTGGTAATCCTCAACCTCTGAGGCAACAAATACCTGTAATTTAAACTACGGCTTGATTTTTATCTGCAGGGAATTAGTTGCTTTCTGAATATTTCACCCAACAACTTTGCATCAAATGTGGTTCATAATCACAACTACGTAAAATAGACAATAAATACTTCCTGGCATCACTGCTACTTTCCTGATCAAAACGTTGAGAAGCTCTCTAACTGATAAAATTGTTGTCTTTGCTTTCATGGTATTTGGATTTGAAACATGAAAAGCAATTCTTGAAATTTTTGGGTTTCTGGGCGGCTCTACTCAGTTTGTGATTTAATGCGCAGGAGAAAAAAATGTTGTTTGTATATCATATATAAGTTGAACAAATATTTCCGGGACAATCAGCAATACTAACAATTAACAAAGGTAATCTTAATACTAAGACTAATTAATCCTGAAACACGGAACACTAACTCACCCCCCGTAAGGTTGAAAATGTCAGGAAAACTGAGGAATTTCCTATGCACGCCAAGGAATACTTGAATTGTTTCACAGACAGTCACGTGGTTTTTGTGGTGAAAAATCAAAACTCGCACATCCAAACACTGGAATATCTTTGTGATAAAAATACCAAATAAATCCTGATATTTCTTCTGGTAAAATCATCGTTTAATAGATTTCTGATATCAGATCTGTTGTACTTGGAATAAAAAGGTATTACTTTGTTTTGATTGTTTTTATTGTGTATATATTATTTGTGCAATTTGGTATTAAATTTTGCAATATTCCCCCACAGACTTGGTAGTTTGTACTGTAATATATACTGGTAACTACAACATTAAATATTTATCAATAAGTCATTATTAATTCATCCTAAATATTTCAAACTTTTAATAGAAAAAACAATATATTAGCAACACTTGATGAACTGTTTAATGTTTATCATCTTGTGATGAACACTCACCCACCCATGAAGCATAGTTATGTCTCAGTCATTTTGTGTAACTGTGTGTCATGTAATGTTTGTTTTTTCTCCATACATGAGGAAATTGAAATAAAGACAATGGTCTTCTTGTCAAATTCAATGTTATATTGTTACTAGAAATACATGCATGCACCAACCCCTCGCCATTTGAAACGAAGCAAAATATTTCCTGAGCTAGTTTCTAAGTTCTATGTTGTGATCTAAGTTCTAGGGAAAGGGAGTTTAACTAATAAATATAAAAAATACAAATATGAGAGCAATCTTGAGAGGTATTAATTGTGCAAGTGTGAATTGATGCATTTATTATTAGTCAGTGACTCAGTGTACATATTTATATTCAGATACAGTAACTATACAGCCTGGGGTATTAGGTTAGTTTAAATAAATTAAAAAGGAATTAGTTCTACTTGCTCGCTAAGTTATTGCATCAGTTTTGAAAATAATTACATTCTGCCCAACAACAACACACTTCTGTATCAAGTCAAAATTTCATGATCATTATTAATACCATTCTTACTTTAGTAATATCCAAATGAGAAACTCAGCTATGTTATTACAAACTAATGACATGTGTGGTTTTTCAGGAGTTTCACTCAAGCTTCACCCTTAGTAATTTCACTAGTTAAATATTACTTATATTTACAAGTTTCCAGTCCAGTATTCAAGATGTCTGAGAGGTCAAAATATCAAGTTTTATAGCAACATTTATCTGCTTCTGAGAATGTCAAATTAAAAAATGTTATCATACTGAGGAATATAGATTTTCTTGATATATATTATAAATAATTTATTGGTAATAATTATTATTCTTACTTCTACACTTGTGTCATCGTGTGCCCTGGTATGAAATTGAAGCCCGAAGAGTCAAAATGAAATGAAGAATTTACTATTCATATGTGTTTGCAGAGTTATTTCAATTTACATCAGGGACGCTTATGAATATATAAATGAATATATATAAATGAACATGATATATAAATCCCCGCACCCAAATTAATCTTCTAGCTATATCCCTGAGTACTACAAGTACTTTTGCGGAGTTTTTAGTTCAAATTACTTCCCTAAAAAGTTTTTCTTGGGCGTATATCTTCTATATTACCAAAAATGTTAAGCTATATTTATTGTAATACAAGTATTTCTGAAATGTCCTAATCCCACACATGACAGATTTTTTTAAAAAATAACTTTAATTCAAACTCACAGAATGAAAGTTTTGTGAGACACAAAATCCATCCTCAGCCTGCCAACAACTGTTATATTTATTATGTCCATTCATTAAGTCTCTTATTTGTTATAATCATATAATCATGTTTGCATATCGTAGGAACAATAGCGTACGAAAGAAATCAGTCATCATAAGACAAATATATGAATATACACCCCCCCCCCCCCAATTAAGGTTCCAGCTACGACGCTGAAAACTCGCAAATTTCTCACTAATGTTTTTTTTTCAATCCTTGCCGCACTCTAGTACATGGAAATGATATAATCTGCTGTAGAGCATATGAAATGATATTGTGGCACAGTCTATACTCACACTAGTAGCAATTTTCATGCCACGTCCGCGTCATAGATTTGGTGCATCTTAAACTCGCTTTTTATTCAGTGGGGCTCACCAACTACCTAATATGTTGCCCAAAAAATATTAACGACTGTTGCGGAATTTAGGTTAACGCATGGTTGAGTATAGCAACCATATAAGAAAACAGTCATTTGAGTATGCGGAAATATATAGTGTTATGGTCGTAAATTGTATATGTATTGTTAATAAAGGAATTGTTATGTAAATGTTAATAGTGTAGTATCATATAGCAATTGAAATGAAGGTTTTGATGTAGCACGTAGCAACAACCGCGAAGCCAGTGTCCCACATAATAACGTAAGCGGACGCAAATGTGGTTTGTAGTGGAGCGAAAACTACAGAAAAACATTCTGCAGTCCTGTAAGAGATGCATCAGGGAAATGCATCATTGATTGGTAAAGCATCTTGTTTTGTTGTTATAAATATAGCTTAAAATCATAGTTGTAATTTAGTATACATTAGAGCGTGAATTATTGTAAAGTGTTGATTCCTGAATAAATGTAAAATTATATGCAGTCCCAGTGTGTACGATTTGTTTGGAGATTTTCAACAATGACCTCTTTCGTAATTATCGCTACTCTGGTTTTAATAAATGAAAGTAATCACCACACAAAGATTAACTTTCAGGACACAACGTTTCGACACTCCGGTCTAGTGTCTTCATCAGGGGTGATCTGATGTTGAAACTCAGTTCCTTATATACTCTCAAAATGACGTCATCCATCAATCAGATGTAAATATTCTTTTGACAAATAGCTTCCGTCATCCCTATTTAGGGCACAAAGACTCGCATTAGTATGCCAGGCTTCCAAACAACGCCTTTGTCCATAACGATCATTAGTGGTAATGACTTTTGAATCGTTCCACCCAATGTTATGGTTAGTTTGACACACGTGTTCCGCCAAGGCTGATTTTGAACTAAGTTCGAAACGGCCTTTTGATATTCTTTTAAACGTGTGCCGAACTGGCGTTTTGTTTCACCTAGATATTCTTTCTTCCAATCACCACATGGTATAGAGTATACAGCATGAGTTTTCTGTTTAGTCGCTACGCGATCCTTGCGAAAATATTTTTTTTTTTTTGCGAAAATATGTCCCAGTGTCTGAAAGGGTTTTAAGGCAACAGTAGGAGTGTTGGATACTTATGTTCATAGAAATATCGAAGGGCAGTTAGAAACCGATGTTTACCGTAACCTACACATACGGACAAATATCTATCCTTCTACTCACACCATCAAAAAAGTCATAAAAAGTCTGTTGCAAAAACTTTGTTTCAAAGAGCTGAATCGTTAACATCCAATCGCTAGGGACAACGAGCGTGATTATGTCCTCAGTGTACTGAGAGAGAACAATAGACCTTTTTCATAATGGCGTCAAACGCGGAAAGTATATGACACGAAGTTTGATTGGCTCGATAGTTTTGTGGAGCAAATCAATTTCGTGTAACATCAGACTTTCCGCGTTTGACGTCATTATAAGAAAGGTCTATTATCCACGAAACTTTTTAAATAATTGTTTAAAATCCCCTGTCCCGACTAGATGCAATTCCTCAGAGGGGGATTCCTCAAAAAAAGGTTTTACTACAGAAAACTGATGCTGTAATCTAAATCAGCCTCGCGGAACACGTGTGTCAAACTAACCATAACATTGCGTGGACGATTCAAAAGTCATTACCCTAATGATCGTTATGGACAAAGGCGTTATTTGGAAGCCTGGCATATTAATGCGAGTCTTGTGCCCTAAATAGGGATGACGGAAGCTATTTGTCAAAGAATATTTACATCTGATTGATAGATAACGTCATTTTAAGAGTATATAAGGAACCCAGTTTCAACATCAGATCACCCCTGATGAAGACACTAGACCGGAGTGTGGAAACGTTGGGTCGTGAAAGTTAATCTTTGTGTGGTGATTACTTTCATTTATTAAAACCAGAGTAGCGATAATTGGGATGGATTATATACCTGGTTGCCGTGAACTCATTAACTTCAATTCGTAATGACCTCTTTTTACATATTTAAAGCTGGTCTTTGGCTTGACGTTTGAACCACATTTGATGTGCCTATTTTGTGTGTAACATTTCATCTGGATCCTTGTTTAATATTGTTTCTGTTATAATTTTAGGAGGAGATCTACCATTATTTTGCTTATACACAATGTTGTATAATGTTGGTTGAGTGTTTACAGCGAGGACAACCCAAAGTTATTCAACTCGTGTGAGAAGTTCTCTGAGTCAAGGTGCGAATAATTTACTGAGTAAAAGATCAGTTTAATGTAGCTCCCTACAGCTAGTACAGTTTTACGTGATCTATAGTAAAAGATCAGTTTAATGTAGCTCCCTACAGCTAGTACAGTTTTACGTGATCTATAGTAAAAGATCAGTTTAATGTAGCTCCCTACAGCTAGTACAGTTTTACGTGATCTATGAGATCAGCTAGACGTGCCTTGTCTATCTCTTTGGTTAAATATCGGCGAAAAACGTTCATTTATTTTATACAATTGCCTCTATTAATCAACTCCTTACACCAATGTCATCTAGACAACAGAGTGTTACTAGAGCATAGGTATTGAAATTGATCAGCGTATGCATGTCTCGAGTAAAATTAGACTTCGCATTGGCACATTCTGTGAGTTATTTATGCGATAAAAACTAGGAATTAAATTTCGAAGTTCATCATCACTGGAGAACCTGCGTCCTCATCATGCACAATCGTATTGTCCCATTGATACCGATGGAAACACCAAAACAAGATTTAAGTCGTTGATGGCCACCAATTAGCATGAATTTAGATTTCTTCTCATTCAAGGTTACGAGATTGCGTGTGAACCACTTTTGAACATTTGCCAGATCCTCGTTTAATTCAATACCTTGACTGTCTTTGAAGAAAAGTAAACGACAGTAACATTCTCATACATAGAGATATTACATGACTTGATACAATTGGGTAAATTGTTCACATTCACATAGATAATGAATAAAAGCCGCCCAAGAATGCTTCCTTGTTGGACCCCTACATTCACAGGCTTTACAGAGGACTGCTTATTATTAACGCCGGTGACTTGGCATCTGTGAGTAAGATACGATTTGAACCATTCACAAACATGAGAGGAAAAACCTATATAGTGTGTCCCAGAGCCACGCCTCCGCGAGGGAACTCATCCCCCCGCTGATACTCCGTTATTTCAAAGACGTCTCCTTTTTTGATAGGACCTGACTTGATAAGATTTTGTATATATTTTATATTATTTTTAAATAGCTGAAATTTACTTTCTCTTTCCCATATTATAACCTGTTCGGTCTTAGCTATTACAACGAGTAACAATTCTAGTTCAAGAGTAATTTAAACGCAGAGCCCAATACTAAAACCCCCAAACCTTAATAAGTTACTGCATATATATGGCGTGGAAATGACTTGGGCCCCTTTCAAACATCGACTATTCATGTTCCGAACCTAATGTTAATGAGATAAAGTCTTTGCTTAAGTTTATTTTGCACTGGATTTGGCACATGAAAAATTCGACGTCTGAAACGAGCCTAACTTGCACTAATGTGTTGTACCAAGGCCCCGTTTCCACATAGTTTGATACAAGTGTAACCAGCAAATGTTGAGTTAGTTGGGAGCATTCTTTCCAACATATCTAGCCGTAGCAAAAGAGTATTTTTAATGTGCGTACTCAGTTACAGTTACAGAAAACTATCTAAAAACCAGTGCCTTTTTTAACTATATATCTGGGGGGGCAATTGCCCCCCCAGAGAATGCATTTGCCCCCCCAGTAACTTCATTTCTGCCCACGTAGTGCGACAAGATTGCTTTGAGAATTGCTGTTGATTTACTTGATAAAGAGATTATGCCCTTCCATAGCCTTCTCCACAGTTATCTTGCATGTAATGCATAATGTTCTTCGACAAATAGTCACAGTAGCGATAGATTTCATAGAATCAATCGAATAAAATGCTAGCTTTCTAAACCTCGCCACTATTTCTTAGTATTTCCGCCCGGCGGTTTGTTGATGACTATATTTTTTTGCGATGCTGTCTGCAATAGTGGTGATTTCATCTGATAGCATGACAGTTGAAAGAAGTGTTTCAAAATATAATATCTTGTACTCGAAGCTGAAGACAGCAACAAATCAGAAAACGTTAAATAATAGAATGGTTATAGCCTGGTGTCCCTACTGCTTTATATGACCCAAGGCCAGCCGTTGTATCCTTTTTCAACAAAAAAGACCGACGCAGTGCAAGGCCATGTCTTGAAACATATAAACAAAGAGATTTTATGGCCAAATTTTTTTCCTAAATGCTGTACAACTATAACTACAAAGAGTTGAAATTATTGTTTGCATTTAAACATGGGTTTCCTTCTGTCTCGCGCGTTCGCCAAACCTCGTCGGCTCATTTTTCGTTTCGCCTTTTTCCTGCTTTGCCCCCCCAGTGAAAATTCCTTAAAGGCCCTGTCACACTGTTGCGTATCGCATTAGCGTATGGCAGCGCATGATAAATATCACGCATACGCCGGAATACGCTGAAATATGCTGGTGGTACGTCGTGCGTAAGTTATACACGTTCCAAGCACGGTCACATACGCTGGTATACGCCGAGGAAGAAATTTTTTTTTTTTAAGCATGCTTAAAAATCTTGTGCGTGTTTGAACGTATGGTTTATACGGTAAAGATAAGCTAGTCATACGCTGAATACGGCACAAGGACGCTAAATGTACTGTATACTAATAGGTTGAGTACGCTAATCATACGCAAATGAGTAAGTGTGCCGTACAACTAACGTGTTGATAGCGCATCAGTAACGAAGGTCTAACTTATGTGTGACGTAAGTTTAACGTCTATAGAGGGCTTAGCGTATGACTGACGATTAAGTAACGCATTTACCGTACAATTAGCGTATAGTTAACGCCTGGTCGTCGTATCCTCAGCGTATTGCAAACGTTACGAGAAAGGGTATATAAATATTATAGCATGTCATTTATTGTGTATAATATATATTTATGTTGGATGCCTTCATATCATCTTGTACCTTCGAGGATAAAGGATGGAGTTAGCTGTTCTTGAATACCAGTTTGATCTCATAGCTTTGACGATTCGTCACATAGAAAATAACAGAAGGAAAAGGAGAAAAAGAAAAAGACGTGAACTGAACTGAACTGAACTGAACTGAAACTTTTATTTAATCACGGTAGACTAATCAGGATTTACAAAAATGAAGTAAAATACAAGAAAAACGAACACACATACATATACATATACAAGTTATAATACAAGTAAGATACCTGTTTTCCATTAGTGCCGTGAATTTAATTAAGATAAAAAGGAATTATCGAATAAAACTGTTGCATTCAGATCTGAATTTACGCAAAGAATTAACATGTCGTAGTTCATTAGGTAGAGAATTCCATAGCACCGCACCACTATAGCTGAAGCTATTTTTCAAATAATTTGTACGTGGTTGCGGTACTGCTAATTTGCGATTGGTGTCTCTCAACGTGAAATTTGTTATTCTACTGCGATCAATAAACATTTTAGAGAGATAATCTGGTGCAAGACCATTTAGCGATTTATATACCATAGTAGCTTTGGCAATTTTGCGCTGAGATGCGAGACTTTTCCAGCCAAGTTTTCGAACAGATATTCCGCGTTTGTATCATGGCGGGAAAACGTCAGAACTCTGGCGGCTCGATTTTGTAATTTTTGTAGTTTATCTGCGAGAGTGTTACCGCAAGTATCCCACACCTCAGAGCAATAGTCGAAGTAGGGTTGAACTAAACAGTTGTATATTAGTCGCAGTGTGGAGTGAGGAACAAAGGCCTTATACGTTTTAGAGCACCTATACCTGAGGCAACTTTTGCACAGTTTTCTAATATGAATCTTCCAAGACATATTTCATCAATATATGTACCAAGAGATTTTGTGAAAGTGACTTGTCTAATTGGAACATTATCAATCACCAATGAAGGAGATGATTGAAATGTACCGATTCTTTGATAGGATCCGATTAACATGAATTCGGTTTTAGATTGATTTAAAGTAGTCTGTTCGCTGAGAGCCATTCAACTGACACTAGCAAGATCTTCGTTAAAACAATGATTAATGTCATCAATATTATTACTTGCATAAGTCAAGCTGGTATCATCAGCAAACATCCGAGCCCGAGAATGTGAAAGGCAGTTTGGTAGATCATTGATGTAAATTAGAAACAAAATTGGCCCTAATATAGTGCCCTGCGGTACTCCGCAACGAAGCAAACGACTAGTCGAAAGATGACCATTAAGAAAACACTTTTGTTCCCGCCCATTAAGGTAAGATCTAAACCAATTACCAGCAATTCCATTAATGCCGTATGCATTCAGTTTACCTAGCAGAATTTCATGATCTACAGTATCAAAAGCTTTCTTGAGGTCAAGGAACATAACAGCATTGACATTTCCATGGTCAATGTTGTAGGCCCATTCATTAGTGGCTTCAAGAAGAGCAGTAACAGTTGAATGTAGACCACGAAAACCTGACTGGCAATTAGTTAGCAATTTATTTTGAGATAGATAAAGTTGCAATTGATCATATATAATCCTTTCAAAAACCTTGGCAATGACAGGTACAATCGAAATCGGTCTATAGTTATCGACACAGTTCCGTTTTCCTTGTTTGTGTATGGGAACGACTTTAGCACATTTCCACTCATTCGGAAATATACCTGTAGTAATGGAACGATTAAAAATAAGAGTAAGCGACTCCGCGATTAAATCTGGGCATTCTCGAAGTAATCTAGAAGATATTTTATCCAAGCCTGTTGCTTTTGATCTACTCAACCTGGATAAGAGCGTGAAAATCAATGACTGATTAGTTTCTTTCTTTAAGATGGAAAGAGACATTATCATTTTGGGACGGTAAAAAATCGATATATGACCGGTTCGTTTCACTAGAGCATATTTTATCGGCAAGTTTAGGTCCAATATTAGAAAAATGTTCATTAAAAGCATCAGCAATTTCATTAGAATCGTTAATAATGTCTCCATTCAGATCAATTTCATTAATATGAGAACGTTTTTGATTCCTAGATGTAAGTTCATTGATGATATTCCAGGTCTTTTTTGGATTGTATTTATTTTCACAAAATGCCTTTTTGAAGTAGCTTTCTTTAGCTTTAAAGATTTCTTGATTTACAGCATTACGCATTTTTTTAAACAAGCACCAATCGAAAGGATTGTTGGAACGAACTGCTTTAATCTTTT